CAACTCTTGGGCTACTCTGTTACCAACGAATAGTGGGATTGACCGTCACATTATAACGCCCCCACGACTGAAAGGGCGAACATGTTTGGTGTGAGAGGGATTCGAACCCGCAGTTGGGAAGAACCTTCTACATAATGGATCAAATGGGAATTAGCTTCTCCATTAGACTTGACGGGGAAGTAAACTCTCCATAATAGGGCAACTGGAAAGGAACTTCTCCACAAAGGACCATACGACTCAACTTAATAGTACCTTCTCCACAAAACCCAGTTGGTTAGGAACTTTTTCACAATATCGAACAGGTAGGTAGATTCTCTACAAGGGACCAACTGAGCAGGAATTTCTGCACAAATGACATACACGTATGCGCTATATTCCATATTAAATACCTTAATAGAAAATCGTGTTAACCCGCATCTACGAATGGGAAGATGTTAGCTGATTCGTGATTTAGGTAATTCCTTAGAGAAATTGTACGGTACTCCGGTAAATTTCTAGGTTTTTTAGGCGGTTGTAATTTGTGTGGAGTGCCCTTCAATAACATGGATCGCTACAACTCAAAGGTTTATATATCGTATATAATATCAGATCATTTCTTTCTTTGTATTTAAAATACACACATTTCACAAACATTATCTGGATTGTTTACGTAGGTGAACTATAAATGCTGAATAACAATATACTGATTCCATGTGTCTTTCAGAAGAAGGATAAACTGCTTCTGAGTGACATTTGAACCTAATGCCCTTTCTAAATTCACAAATTCTTCAGCCAAATGATCTTGTGGTAATTTAGACTCAATTGTTTAAGACCAGAATTGATTCTTACAATGTTTCAATGTGGCTGTTTATATAGACATTCTTGTGATTGATTGAAGAAACGTGTAAAGGAAACACGACCACAGGAGATAATCAGTTTTTTTTGGGTGTTATAACCACCAGAAAATCTATTTTATTGATTTATTGTATTATTCTTGTAAATATAACTATGCATAAGTTCGGATTTGAAGAATATCAGTGTTTCGATGTGTTATGTGTTACAATGTTCTTTCTAAATCCAGCTTAGTTCTATAATTTACCATTCTAAGTAGGTGTGTTATTCTTCGATGTGTTATGTGTTACAATGTTCTTTCTAAATCCAGCTTAGTTCTATAATTTACCATTCTAAGTAGGTGTGTTATGTTCCGCAGCTACAAAAAGCAACAACAAAAAACACGAATTTATATTAGTTTTCTTCATTCAAAAACCACTTCGATATTTTGATCTTTGATTTACAAATCCAACTGCTCCCGCTCACTTTCAGCCCTCCTGCGACATCTCACTCTTATAACCCAAACGAATGCACGTTTTCCGTCTACTACTGTCATTAAGTGAACGAGCACAATGGGAGTATAGCATAAGTCATGATTACCACAGTGGGAGTATGGCATAAGTCATGATTACCACAATGGGAGTATGGCATAAGTCATGATTACCACAATGGGAGTATGGCATAAGTCATGATTATCACAATGGGAGTATGGCATAAGTCATGATTACCACAATGGGAGTATACCACAAGTCATGATTACCACAATGGGAGTATAGCATAAGTCATGATTACCACAATGGGAGTATGGCATAAGTCATGATTACCACAATTGGAGTATGGCATAAGTCATGATTACCACAATGGGAGTATGGC